CCTCTTCTCCTGAGCTGGTGGGTCAGTAGTCTATTCTCTCAGTGGATTTCAGGCTGCACCAGAGTAGGGAATAATAGCAAAGAAAGGCACAGGTCCAGCTTCAGTCCAGGCCCTGACCTCCCAGCACACACATATACCCAGTTCCCAGGCCTGCTCCCCTATCCCTACCCAACTTTCACATCTGTCCCATGATTCATCTTTTACCATCCAGACCTCCTTGGTCAGAACGAGGTCCAGCTCAGGCCAAATAGTAGGGAGGTCAATCAATATAGGGGTGAACAGGGCTAGCCCCATTTTTCTTCTCACGACCAGACAGCCTCAGAGAGTGGTAGGCGGGATGATCCCAGAACGCACCCTTGATGTCCAAAATAGGCTACGGGTAATCTGAAAACAAAGCGTTAACACTATGCATACATCTTAAGGAAGGATTGTCTTTTCCCCTGTGTAATGAACAAAGATATTGCTGGCTTGCACAATAAGACCTTAGTTACCTATTTTGTGGCACTGAAGAAGGCCTGGAGAGAACTAAGTGTTGTAGGCTTTATGATCGTTTCTCTAGCTGGTTCATTTAGTAACCCTCTTAACCCTTTGCCCCCATCCATATAAGAGTTGAGGAGCCCACAGACCCTTCAGAGGGCCCCACAGATCTATCCCTGAAGAACTGAGAGGTGCTGAGCTTGCAGGTCAGGAGCTTTCACTGCCAAGGGCTCCCTGTCTGTGGGTTCTCACTGGTCTCACTCAACACCAATACCACACACACCACTGCTCAGAAATCCACTTATACCTACAATTAGCCAGCAAAGTTCCCAAGGGCACTCTCTGGCTATAGCATCTAAGCTCCTGAATCTCTCCATCCCTGAGTACCCTATCTGCTTGAGGATCTGCAGACTGCAGTGACTCTGTTCATCATAGCTTTGCACCAGGATCATAAGAAACCCTCCTTGCTTCTCTTCTAGATTTTGATCTATAGAGGCCAAACCACAGGGCTCTGGTTTCTCTTTCCTCCTGATCAAGGGGGCAGATAGAGCAGAGAGCAGACCCAAGGGAGGTCCTCAGGCATTTGTAACTTCACACTGAAACCATGAAAGACATGAGCAAAGCCATTTTTGAGTAAACATTTTTTCCACAGTAAACCAGGTCAGAACAAACACAAGTCTGTCTTTTCAGAAACACCGGAAGGAAAAATAGGTAAGTAGACCAAAAGGAAGGGACAACAGACAGAAAGTTACTCACACTGAATTGGAGGGCATGGCCCTGACCTTTCTTAGTTAAAAATGATGTGTCCACACTTCATGTAGCATGGAGAAAAAGTTCGTCTCTTCTTATGCAGTGTTTCTTTTGTTTGCTGTTGACCTTTAACTGGGGTCTGTTCCCTTGGGGTGGACACTCGGGTTTCTGAGAGCTTGGTGTGCCCCAGGAGTGGCCTCTCTGGGAGCAATTACCCACCTGGAGGTAAACAAGGGATCCTGTGTGCATAGTCTCCAAGCTGAGACAGTACCTAAGTCCTGATGGATACAGAAATAGGCCAGAGTCCCTAAAGCCACAGTGACCGGCCTCAAGATAACTTGAACCAGAGCTGATATTTTCTCTTTCAAGGCTGTCTCCCCCATGATGGCTCAGACACAGTGTTATACAACCGATCCCTGCAGAAAGGTGGGCTTTCATTTTACATAATCTTTTATTTTTTAATGGTCATGGTATTTTTTTAAATGTATTTACTTTTAATCACTGTACATCATTACAAAATACAAAATGAGCTTCCTCTGTGTGAATATACTAAATATTAGTCCAGTCGAAGTTGTCCCCATACTTCTTATCATTAACAGATAATTTTTCATTTTTGTTCTTATTTAGAACAGTTTTAGATTTACTCCCACCTAGTTTCTTCTATTATTAACGCCTTACAATAGTATGGACTAGCTTTTATATCAAAGGGAATTCTTTTTTTTCTTTTATTTGTTTTTATTAATACGTTAAATCACTATACATCATTTAGATTGCTAAGAGACTTTACCCAGCATGATATACATCTCAGTCCAGTCCAGTTGAGACCACCATATACATCCTCATTAACAGATAGTAAATCTTCTCTGTGTCCCATAAGTGTCTTACCTTTCCATTTTCCCCCCAAATTTCCTATGCTCTTCCCTCCCACACTCTCTATCCACTTTGTCTCTAGTGCCCATTGCAATTTTTAATACTTTTATGCTCTCCAGTCTTACATTACCTACCATAGAGTGAGGACAGTTGGTATATGTTAAGTGGAAACATACAATGTCTCTCTTTCATAGCCTGACTTGCTTCACTCAGCAACAAATCTTCCATATTCGTCCATGTTCTATCAAATTCCAGGGCCTTGTTGGTTTTTATGGCTGAATAGTCAAGGGGAATTTTTGATCCATTATTATCAACTAAATGGCATGGTTTATTCATATTTCCTTATGTTCACCTAATATCCTTCTTCTGTCTGCATTATATTCAGGTGTCTCCTTAGTGCCTTCTTGATTGTGGAAGTTTCTCATACTTCCCTTGCTTTTGATGATCTTGATGATATTGATTTGAGGGAATATTGGTCTAATATCTTATAGAATTCCACTTGATTAAAACTTGTTGATTTTCCCCTCTCATTATTAAAGTTACGGGTTTGAGAGAAGACCACAATGAACTGTGCCATTTTCATCACATCATACCAGGGGTACCTACTGTCAACATGGCTTATTATGTTGATGAAGATGGACTTTTCATCAGTTTTTAAGTGACCATCCAGGTGCTGGGTGTCCCACAGTATCCATAAAGACATTGTCCTTGCCTTAATGAGGCCCATGGTCAGCTGGCAGGCTTGCCCCCAGCACCTACCCCATGCTGTACAAGACCTGGTGGTGCATGATGAGGCATAGTGAAGTAATCATAGCTACTTCATTTCCCTGTATGGCCAAAAGGTCCACAACTGACAGATAAAGCATCTGTTGTTGGTTGTAGCACATGTTTATAAAAATAACTGAGAAGATAATATATACAAGGAAAATTATCAATGTATCTTAGTGATCAATGGCAGAAAATAAGAAATATATTAGAAACTTGTCATTGCAAAAGAACTGAAGAAAGAACCATTGATAATTTAAAGTGGTTCTTTTTTTTTTTACATTTTTTAATACATTCAATCACATTATTTAGCTTACAAGGTGATCATTTCAATATAAGAACATTTCTCCCCAGTCGAGTTGATAAAAATATAACAACACTACCTCCCTGTCTCAACAATGCTGCCTTCGTCACCCTACTCCAAATGTTCTTCCCCAGGGCCCCACTCCTCCACACACATCACATCTGGCATTCACATCCATGGGCTAAAGGATCTACAAATTAAAGTGGTTTTTAACATCACAAAAGAAATAACCATTGCACCCTTTAATTTTGCAGATCTTAACATCTTCCAATTCAATCAATCAGTACACATTTTTTAATCTCTGAAGAATAGTGACCTACTTCACATGACAGTAAATGTAATAGTTTTAGCAATTGAAGATTTGAACAATTCCTCTAATTTATTCAGATGAGATACAATATTAGCTATACCTAATTTTCCTAATTTAACACGCTATTTTTCCTGCAGAAGTCATGTTGGCTTATAGAAATAATTCGTCATCAAAGATCTCTGCAACACTGATTTAAGATGATCTCATGGTCAACAAGTAATCCTAATTTGTACTATATAGGCCTAACTGCTGAGCTATGTGGGTAGTAAGAATCTGGTGGGCACCTGCCACAGCCGTGGAATTAATTACCACTTTGAGGATTGTCAAAGCTATGCAATGCTCTAGTCTATGGGGATTTTAGGTTCCAAAGTGTCAGGGAAGCCCACCAGAAAGACTCAACAGGATGCTGATTCACCCAACAACTGTCAATAGGGCAAACCCTGTGTGGGGATCCTGTGCTCAGATTGTAGGAAACAAGATAAGCAAATGAATTTCTCTAGCCCATGGGGCAGTTAAATGTTCTCTTGTGAGGGCATCTGTAAGTGAGTTGAGAGAATGAAAGTACATTTCTTCCTGCAGAAAACACCATAAACAAGGGTAGGTTTGGGGACAGTGGCACTTGAACAACTTGGAGCAATGAATAATATTGGAGGTCTAGCAGGAAGCACATCAAAACCTGAGGGGAAAGTGCAGGCTATGTTTATAGATAGAAGATACCATAAGTGGGTCATGGGAATGGGGAGA